CTTCTTCTTAAAGTCCATACCGTGTGGTGCTGGTAGTTGTGTCTATCCACAACCTTCTGCCTCGTGTACTTTCATTCATCTCTGACACAGACGGTCCTCCATGCCATGAAGTCAAACTGTCCAGCATCTTTTCTCTCGATCTTCTTCTGCCTTTCCTCCACTCCAACTTTCATACTATCACGTTGTACTCCAGTTTTCTCCTTCTCGTCACATGACCAAAGAATGTTGATTGTAGGAATAACAATTAGTCCCCTTCAAATTCCACAAACATGTACACGCAGTAAATGCATTAGGCAGTCACTGGAAGTATCAAAACTAACAGTCGCTCCCAGAACTGAAGAATAAGTTGGCTGTTCACACGTAATATTACTGCATAATGCACTTAGCCAGTCGTAAACCGACCATTAGCCATTTCCTGAACATAGGGACACAAACCGCTGCGAGCACAAGTGAAAGGCATGTCACATGAAATGTACAGCTCACATTGTTGCACCGAGCACTGGTTTGAAATTAATTATGTACGTATTCCATATTTGTGAAAACAAGCTGTATGATTTACCTAACTTACGATGACACCGTTTCAAGGGTGTCGAGTGGTCATGCGTGCTTGTATTGGGGGTGGGGGGGGGGGGGGGTGACGGACTATTTGTCAGAGAAAAATAAGGTAGGCGTTAAAAAGACTGAGTGAGTGAGTGAGTAAGTGAGTGAGTGAGTGAGTGAGTGAGTGAGTGAGTGAGTGAGTGAGTGAGTGAGTGAGTGAGTGAGTGAGTGAGTGAGTGAGTGAGTGGGTGAGATTAAGAAAAAAGACATTAAATAAATTGCAATAGGGGTAGCTGAAATGATTGACAGAGAGATAGACACAGAGATAGATATAGAGATAGATATAGATAAAGATGTATAGATAGATATAGAGATAGATTTAGCGATAGATTTAGAGATAGATATAGCGATAGATATAGAGATAGAGATAGATATAGATATAGATGTAGAGATAGACGTATAGATAGATATAGAGATAGATATAGAGATATGGAGATAGATATGGAGATAGATGTATAGATAAATGTATAGATAGAGATGGTTATATAGATATATATATATATATATATATATATATATATATATATATATATATATATATATATATATATATATATATATAGATATAGAGGCAGATATAGGGATAAATATAGAGATAGATATAGAGATATATATAGATATAGAGATAGATATAGAGATAGATATAGAGGCAGATATAGAGATAGATATAGAGATAGATATAGAGATATATATAGATATAGAGATAGATATAGAGATAGATATAGAGATAGGTATAGAAAAAGATATAGAGATAGATATAGAGAAAGATATAGAGATAGATATAGAGATAGATATAGAGATAGATATAGAGATAGATATAGAGATAGATATAGAGATAGATATAGAGATAGATATAGAGATAGATATAGAGAAAGGTATAGAGATAGATATAGAGATAGATATAGAGATAGATATAGAGATAGATATAGAGATAGATATAGAGATAGATATAGAGATAGATATAGAGATGGATATAGAGATAGATATAGAGATAGATATAGATATATATATAGAGATAGATATAGAGATATATATATATAGAGATAGATATAGAGATATATATAGAGATAGATATAGAGATAGATATAGAGATAGATATAGAGATAGATTTAGAGATAGATATAGAGATAGATATAGAGATAGATATAGAGATAGATATAGAGATAGATATAGAGATGGATATAGAGATGGATATAGAGATGGATATAGAGATGAATATAGAGATAGATATAGAGATAGATATAGATATATATATAGAGAGATAGATATAGAGATACATATAGAGATAGATATAGAGATAGATAGATAGATATAGAGATAGATATAGAGATAGATATAGAGATAGATATAGAGATAGATATAGAGATAGATATAGAGAAAGATATAGAGATAGATATAGAGATAGATATAGAGAAAGATATAGAGATAGATATAGAGATAGATATAGAGCGAGGCGCAGTACACAAATAAATAAGGCAAAATACAAGCATAAGTGGAGAGTTGGAGGAAGACTTGGAATGCAGTGTGTACATGTGTGTGAGTGTGATTGTGGTTTTGTGTGAGAGAGATAGAGGGTGAAAGAGAGAAGGAAGAGAGAAGGAAGAGAGAGCGATGGTTGACAAACAATGTTTTAAAGATGAAAATACAGTAGGAGAGAAACAGTGAGACAGAAAGAGTTAGATTTTAAACAAATGAGGCGTTAGAAAAAATAAAATGGAATTGAGAGAGGAGGGGGGGGGGGTATAGCGGTATGAACTTATATAAAAGAGAGAGAGAGAGAGAGAGAGAGAGAGAGAGAGAGAGAGAGAGAGAGAGAGAGAGAGAAAGATAGAGAAAGAAAGATAGAGAGATTCATTTTTGTAAATGTATAAAACACAGAGATAAAGAGCTGTAAAATATTCATTACCTGTAATTCGATCCATGGGCTGCAGCTTTGTTCACCTACCATTCACCATTCACCTTACTCCCGCCAATTCCCTCATCGCACATAGAAGGATCGCAATTTGTACGCCTGTATTAATTAAGACTTGAACCCATATTGTTCAAAAGATCCCTATTGCTTCACCCGACCAACCAACCGAGCCTCTGAATTGGGGATCAGCAGGGGGAAGTAATTCTGTTGAGTGTGGGTATCATTGATCCCATCAAACACACGCGCTCATCTTATTAAGTGGTTACCGCCCTTATTATGAAGATGGCATTTTTCTTGCTGTGTCATGGCACTCTCCAGGGACCGACACCAACACAAACGCACACCTGTTAGGAAACCTGTCCACCTCTTTCATCACAAAGGTGAGAACGGAATAGATTCCTAATGTTTACAGGTAACCTTTGATCTGTCTCACGGGGAAGAAATCATTGTATGCACTCACAGTTGGCGCCGTACAATAAATAAGGTCAGAGCGCCTCGTCTTACTCTTTTTTTTTAATTTTAAAATCTTTTTTCCAACACAGGGGTTAAAAAAAAAGATAATATAAATGAGCTGATAAAAGTTACCTCTTGTTTTATTTTCATCACCCACATTTGTATTAATCATGACGGTAAAATATTTGATACTTGGGCTTAACAGCTACTCTATCATGAATTTGACAATAGGGTCTGTAATGTTTCCCGCCTCATACCCGTGTGCTTTTGTTTCAGGTGTTGTTGCCTGACAGAAGGTGTCGTTGGAAGCTCACCTGTGCAGGGCTGTTGGAGGTCCTTTTTGCTGTGGATTGTTGCTAATCCATACGGATGATGTAGAACAGCCGTTCTCAAACTATAGGTGGCGACCCTTTTGGGGGTCGAACGATCCTTCGACTAGATTCGCCAAAGACCATCGGAAACGCATATTCACTGAAGTTATGAAGTAGCAACAAAAATGAATGCATAGCTGGGGGTCACCACTACACGAGGATATTAATTAAAGGGTCGCGGCGTTTGGAAGGTTGAGAACCTCTGATATAGAGTATAGAGCCTGTATCTCTTCTGTGGGGGTTTTATGTCCGCTAGAAAATTCTTTCGTAACAAGTATGCCGTAGGATGTGAGGGACGACAGACACACAGACAGACATACGACACATGGGCAAGATATGCACCCTAGACAGACAAGTAGACATACGACAGGCGCAAGGTATGCACCCTAGACAGACAAATAGACATACGACGGACGCAAGGTATGCACCCTACACAGACAAATAGACATACGACGGACGCAAGGTATGCACCTTAGACAGACAAATAGACATACGACGGACGCAAGGTATGCACCATAGACAGACAAGCAGAAGTACGACGGACGCAAGGTATGCACCAGAGTGAGACAAGCAGACATACGACAGACAGAATGTATGCACCATAGACAGACAAGCAGAAAGGTAGAAATACACGGATGGGGGACCCTTTGAGAATTTAAACCATAGCAGCATTATATATATATATATATATATATATATATATATATATATATATATATATATAAAACAAACGTGTATGTGTTTATCGGCACTTATAGAAACAAGTAGAAAGCTGGATGGACACTGGCTAGTTACATAAAAATAAAAGAGTATGGTTACAATGCCGGGGACTGAACCTGTCATCTCCAAACGACGACAGCGCCTCTTTGCACAAATAAATTGACTTGGGCGCATGACCAGCTAGACATGCCTCCAACCACCCTTACCCCGCCCTCCTCTAAAAATGAGGTGTCTTCTTCTTGTCGTCCATCCGAGTGACGTAATTACTTGTTTACAGCAAATCTGCGATATTTACCCCTTTCGGCTGACACATCCGACTTCATCAAGCATTTGTTAACCTGGTTAACTTTACAGGAAAAGGAAATTTATTTCTAACGCATAAATTAGTCTTTCTTCAGATAAACAGTATGGCAGACGAGCGTCATTTAAGAAGAAAAAACAGCAAGTAAGTACACAGACAGAAAAGTTAGTTGTGTATCCTTTACAGGACGTTGTAGAACCATCCCTGGCATTTTTTGACTGTCGTGGTTTTTCTAAGTAAATTTTACGTTCAATAGTTTGCCATTGCTTTCTCAACAGTCAGCTCTCGGTACCACTGACGAAACCAAGGCAATAAAAATCGTCCGCCGCTGGGATCGAACTCGGCATTCCGGCATTTCGAAGTGCGTTCTCAATGCCTAAGCGACAGACACCGACTACAGACAGATAGAGGCAGAAATAATAAAGCAGACAAGCAGCTGGGTCCAGGCAAGATCGGTCTTTTTTTTTTCTTTCTCTTTTTTCACTTTTATGATTCAAGCAAAAGGATAAAGCGTGTATTCTATTAGTCATATTAAAACACATTATATACAAATAACAAACATAAGAGATTTAATGTCGGTGAAATTATAGGCGAACAGTGGAAACATAAGGCTGCCGTATCTGTTTGGTCAGTCTTTCTTGAACTAATAATCCTTCCGCCCTCTTAATCTAGTCCGCACATCCAACATACACCGCTGGCATTCAAACAATGCTACTCTAAGCCTCACACATTCATCCTTGATATGTTCGTCATTCATACACTGTCTGTGAGTTTTCTTGTCCTTTCTGCAACAGTCACTTTGAGCAAACACTCAAGGAGATCATCTCGGACATTTTGACAAGCATAGTTCTTCTTCTTGCTGATCTCTTCAATATCTTCATAATATTTGGGCATGCTCCTGAATGTTCCTTATGTGAACAACAGATCCCTGTCGCTCTGCTTCATGCTAGACCCCGCCAGCCAGCTAGACTACAAGAACGTACTCGACAGTTTTAGGTGGGTACAGTTCTTTTCAACTTGACCACAATGGATCCCCGTCATAGGTCGCTTGTCATTTCGATTGATGCTAGGCCCCAAGGCAACACCGGTCTTGGTCCAGGCTATCATTGACACCCTGGGTAGAAAAGTACACGAGGCTGAACGGCTGGAAGGAGAACGAGTTTCTTGCAGGCAGCTTATGATGTGAGCGACGTTCTGCAAAGTACCTGCTACATTTACAGTGGTAGTAGTAGCAGTTGCAGCAGTAGGTAGTATCAGCAGTCGTTATAGTATTTGCAAACGTTGCAGTAGTGATGGAAGTAGTAGTTAATTATACAAATACAGATAGGAGAGAGAGAGAAAAAGAAAGGGCGAACAGGAAGAGGAAAAAAAAAAAAAAAAGAAGAAAGAAGAAGAAGAAGAAGAAGAAGAAGAAGAAGAAGAAGAAGAAGAAGAAGAAGAAGAAGAAGAAGAAGAAGAAGAAGAAGAAGAAGAAGAAGAAGAAGAAGAAGAAGAAGAAGAAGAACAACAACAACAACAACAACAACAAAAAGTAGATGAAGCAGAAGAAGAAGAAGAAGAAGAAGAAGAAGAAGAAGAAGAAGAAGAAGAAGAAGAAGAAGAAGAAGAAGAAGAAGAAGAAGAAGAAGAAGAAAGAAGAAGAAGAAGAAGAAGAAGAAGAGAAGAAGAAGAAGAAGAAGAAGAAAAAAGAAGAAGAAGAAGAAGAAGAAGAAGAAGAAGAAGAAGAAGAAGAAGAAGAAGAAGAAGAAGAAGAAGAAGAAGAAGAAGAAGAAGAAGAAGAAGAAGAAGAAGAAGAAGAAGAAGAAGAAGAAGAAGAAGAAGAAGAAGAAGAAGAAGAAGAACAACAACAACAACAACAACAACAAGTAGATGAAGCAGAAGAAGAAGAAGAAGAAGAAGAAGAAGAAGAAGAAGAAGAAGAAGAAGAAGAAGAAGAAGAAGAAGAAGAAGAAGAAGAAGAAGAAGAAGAAGAAGAAGAAGAAGAAGAAGAAGAAGAAGAAGAAGAAGAAGAAGAAGAAGAAGAAGAAGAAGAAGAAGAAGAAGAAGAAGAACAACAACAACAACAACAACAACAACAACAAGAAGATGAAGAAGAAGACGACGAAGAAGAGGATGAGAAAGAGAGGAAGAAGCAACTGATGATGATGATGAAAACAGATTGATCCACATTTGTTATTTACTCATCTAGTTCAAACACCGAACACATTTCTGAACCCACACATCCTCATCATACCCACTGATTGATTAACCTTACACCCAGAACATTTTATGACCTCCTCCGTAATTAGACCTCAATTTTACTGTTCTCTCATTCTAGACTCGGCTCTGTCTTTTGGCCCGTTATCGGGTAAAGAGCACAGACTTTGTTTGCCCGGCACCGTGCGAATACAAAGGCCAGCGCCCGCTGTGTTGACCTATGGTTCTGCGGAAGATTCTTCGTTAGTGGTGAATTGATACGGAGCCGCACCTGTGTGGTTCCCGCCAGATTGTATTCAGGGCTCCAGGTAGTCGGTCGGTGGTCGTGGGTGCTATCTACAGGATTGATTAGTCATTATGTACTGTAGTAGTTGTAGTAGCAGCTGCAGCAGCAGTTGTAATAGTAGTAGTCGTAGTAGCCTTATCATCATCATTACCATCGGCAGTAGCACCAGGGGTGCTTTGATTTCACACTCCGAGATTTCCTAAAGAGTTCCAGGAAAAGTCCTATATTCGAAGGGTGTTATCACACACCATACAATGTGCGAGAAAGTGTGTGCACCGAGTCAACAAACTATCTGCGCATTTTTTTTTTTTTTTAATGTAAAGTACTGCGCAAACTAACTTTCTGTGTGAATGTGTTGGTTGTTTTCAACGATTTCAGCGTTTATTGCGTTATCATGTTCAGTGTGTGTTGCTTTCGTTAGTTTGTGTGAAATGAACATCGACTAACACTAACCCTAACACCCCTATACTATGGAACGTTCTCGGGAATTCCCGACGAAATCTCAGAGGTCCCGGTGTCAAACCTTCAGGTCCTGTTTGTTTGCCATAAGCACTGAGATTCTTTAGTTTCTCGGTGTCAAACCTTCAGGTCCTGTATGTTTGCCACGAGCACTGAGATTCTTTAGTCTCCCGGTGTCAAACCTTCAGGTCCAGTATGTTTGCTACGAGCACTGAGATCCTTTAGTCTCCCGGTGTCAAACCTTCAGGTCCTGTATGTTTGCTACGAGCACTGAGATCCTTTAGTCTCCCGGTGTAAAACCTTCAGGTCCTGTATGTTTGCCACAAGCACTGAGATTTTTTAGTTTCTCGGTGTCAAACCTCCAGGTTCTGTATGTTTGCTACGAGCACTGAAATTCTTTAGTCTCCCGGTGTCAAACCTTCAGGTCTTGTATGTTTGCCTTAAGCACTGTGATTCTTTAGTTTCTCGGTGTCAAACCTTCAAGTCCTGTATGTTTGCCACTAGCACTGAGATTCTTTGTCAAACCTTCAGGTTGTGGACTGGATGGGATAAACAACACGCCCGCATGTACGCTTTATTTTGATGATGATGATGATGACGATGGTGACGATGCAGTTGATGATGATGATGAAATTAATGATGTGATGATTATGATGATGATGATAATGAAGCGGAAGATGCTGGTAACAATAAGTATGAAGATGATAATGATGACGACGACTATGATGCTAACGATGATAATGGTGACGACGATGGTGATGATGATTAAAATGATGATGATGATATTGATGATGATGATAATAATGAAAAAAGATATGATGACGACGACGATGATGATAATGACAATGATGGCGATGATGATGAAGATGATAATGACTGTTAATATTCTATTACTTTTACTTTAACTCTTTGCAGCCTACATGATTACTGTTACTCAGGGGTGTCATTGCAAATAAATATTGCGCGTTCAACCATCTTGTAATTTTTCGCAGACAATTTTTGGGAAGCAGGCGGAGGGAGGAAAAGAGGGGGGGGGGGGGGGGTGCCAGCTCAAGGTCCTAGGTACAGTTTAAGTTTTCAGTAATAATAATAATCATCATTATATACCATTGATTTGCCCTTTATTGATTTTGCCACCACCGCGACCACTACCACTACAACTGCTGCTGCTGCTGCTGCTGCTGCTACTACTACTACTACTACTACTACTACTACTACTACTACTACTACTACTACTACTGCTGCTGCTGCTGCTACTACTACTACTACTACTACTACTACTGCTACTACTACTACTACTACTATTACTACTATTATTATTACAACAAATGCTGCTGCTGCCACTACTACCACTACTACTACTACTACTACTACTACTACTACTACTACTACTACTACTACTACTACTACTACCACCACCACCACTACTACTACTACTACTACTACTACTACTACTACTACTACTACTACTACTACTACTACTACTACTACTACTACTACTACTACTACTACCACCACCACCACTACTACTACTACTACTACTACTACTACTACTACTACTACTACTACTACTACTACTATTACTACTACTACTACTACTACTACTACTACTACTACTACTATTACTATACGTGGTGCTTTATTGTTGTTGGTGCTATTGCTATTATTGTTATTATTATTATTATTATTATTATTATTACTATTATTATGCCGGATCTATACAATATTGGTCTTGTGCGGATAGAGGAGGGTGGGGCGTGAGGGGGAGGGGGGGGGGAGCTAGAGAAAACAAAGGTGCCGGTACTCACACAAATGTCTACGAGCATTATAGTACTGCTGAAAAAAATATCGGTATTCACTTTCTATTGCGGTCGTGCTTTAAAAAAAAAGAGGATGCTTTAAAAAAAGGTGCCAGTGCTGTGTACCCCCAGGAAAAAGCCATGCCAAATCCTATACATCAAATACGCTCATACGTGTGAATATGATACCTTCTTCACTCTACTTAATATATTATTTATATTATTATTATTAAGCAATGAAACAATGTTTTAGGCCTTTTGACCACCCCCCCCCCCTTCTCCACCCACCCCACCCTTTAGAAGAGATGTAAGGAAACGCAACACTCAAAATGGTTGTGGTGGGTGTCTGCGCCCCCCCCCCCCCCTATTCCCACCCCTCTATACATCGGCAGAGCTGATATCATCAACACTGTACGCAACAGAATTGCATTTTCTGATACTAACACAATTACATGACCTCGGAGCGAAACCTAGTGAAGTACGTCAGTGCCGTCTTAGAGGTCAGAATTTGAGACACTGTAACCACATAGACTCTCTAACTCTCTCTCTCTCTCTCTCTCTCTCTCTCTCTCTCTCTCTCTCTGTATACCTGTGGGTGACCCAGCGCGTGTGTGAGTGTGCGTGAGAGAGAGAGAGAGAGAGAGAGAGAGAGAGAGAGAGAGAGAGAGAGAGAGAGAGAGAGAGAGAGAGAGAGAGAGTTAACGAGTGCGCGTGTCCGTCAACACACAGCTGAACTATCATAAAACATCGGTTAATTACAGGCCTGGCGAACTCGAAGTCGAATTTTCTACAACGCAATACTGATATTGGCGAGTTTATACCTGGCTGGTAATCGAATACCACCACAGGGCATTGGCCGTTGAAGAATACGACGCTCCTAGTTTGAATTTATAGGAAACGGAAACATGAGAATATGGCATTCTCCCCTTTGTCGATTCCTTTGTTTTGTTTGACGACTGATCTCTCGGTCAGGTTATCATTTCACAATTGGCATTGAGCAATAAAAGTCGTGGCTCAGTCCTTTGATTTAGACGCCACCTCTAGGTATCTCAACGGATTGTTTCCACCTATTCATCCATTTATGAAAAAACAAAACAAAAAATCGATTGCGTTTAAACTACTGCGAGCAGCCTCGGTTATAACTGTGATCTGGT